TCATGTCTCATCATCATCATCATCATCATCATCATCATCATCATCATCATCATCATCATCATCATGATCATCATCATCATCATCATCATCATCATCATCATCATCATCATCATCATCATCATCAGATTCATCATCATCATCATCATCATCATCATCATCATCATCATCATCATCATCATCATCATCAAAGAAACAGTTTTCGTGCACAAAATTAGATGTCTCCTGGTACTGATCTCAAGCCATGTATCTCAACCCAACCCAACCGGAAGCTTTTGTGGTACTGTTTCCTACTGGAGCCCAAGGAATACACTATTGACGATCCTCAACTAGGACTAAACACGACTCTTTGGTCAACAGTGCATAAATATCTGTGGCAGGTAAAGGGATTTTAATAGTTGCATGGCAGCCCTTTAACTTGACATTTCCCCTTCCTAAACCTGTAGCATTTTATATTCAATAAAGGGTATTAAGAACGAAAAGAAACAAGCTCCCACTTTAATAATAAATGATTGGTCTGTGTGCCAGGGAGTTCTTTTGAATTTAATAAATCCAGAGCCAACTTCATCATCGATAGATCGACAAGTGATTTGAAGGAAACAAGGAATGCCGTTCCCTCGGTTAACCGAGCTGTACGTTTCGTCCGTTATTTAAGACAATGTTAAGTGACTCGCCACACCAGAAGAAGAATCGATCTACGGTGTGCATTAGCTGATGAGAGCGGTGCTACAGGTGAATAGCAGTGGCATCACAATTACATGTACCAACATCAGTTAGTGGTGTTTTCACCTGGAGTTCATCGAACAGCCCATAATGATACGAAATACAGAAAACAGTCGCTAGGACCAAACGGCCGGACAATGCTAACTGGTGGGCTACTGCCGAGTTAAAGGGGAGACGAGGAACCGACTATCACGAGGATTATCCAATCACCATAGGGGGTAGGAAATACGGGTCCATGATGAACAATGAATGAATGAAGTACAAGCTTGAAATGAACTGTCACAAAGGTCAAACAGAGGTCAAGCGACACGGATCATGTGACAGAGAAAACTGGGATCTGGTTTGTGTGCTTCTGTGCGTGTTTGTGTGTGTGAGCCCGTGTGGGTGTGCGGATGAATAAATAAATAAAGTTAGTGCTGAGTTGAGCAGGGTCCGTGGCCCGCAAGAAACTTTCAAAGATGGGTTGTGCTATATCGTGTAAATGGAAAATGAAAAAAACGGTTTGATCAGCTGCTCGGTGGCGTAGTGGGTAGCGCGCTTGCGTTCTGCCCATGAAGTCCTGGGTTCGATTCCTAGTTGGGTCGATGGATTCGCACGGCTGAACAGCTGACCACTGCTTCGGAGCTTTTCAGTTCACGCTTCATTTGCTATATACACGACGAATTACCATTTGAAATTTAACCAAATCCTCCATTACTCACATGAAATGTCTTTTTACTTCCTTTTTCAATTTATTGAATATACAAATGTACAGTCAACTTTCAGGAAGGGGGCTGCGCCCATACAAAGGCTGCCTGTGGAAAATACGGATATAGGGAAGACGGGCGGTGGTGAAACGGTTTGAACCCGGGACGTCTAGGTCACCTAACCACTTGGCCACTTGGCATGATTGGCCATCATTTAGGTCGACCAAACAAGAAAAGTACATTTGGACAAAACAAGGTGCGATTGATAGGGTGAACTAAGGTGATTTGATATGGAAGACTAAAACCGCCAACCCAAACCCGATACGACTTTCTGTGACTCCACTCGCTATCATGCACCCTCAGAGCGATTCCATACGAGATGGCACACTTTACTCTCGCCATAATGGCAAAAACCAAGCTGGAGGACAGCCTAGTCACGAGTGGTTACCCTACTGGTTGTCCGCCTTATCTTCTGTAGGCCGTAAAATATATTGGAGAACACCTGTCGCTGGACGTAGCGTACTGATCCGACAAACCTGACAAACTCCAATCGAAATATCTTGTGGAATTCCTTTTGATGCAGGTTACTTCTCCCCATTTATGCTTGTAACCACAACTGTTTTGCACAAGCAACTACACATTATATCACAATCTGTGACTCAGATCTTACAGAAATTATAATACACTTCGAAAAGCAATTGTATCCCTAAACTACCGTTCATTCTTCTGATTTATTCGACCTTTTAGTAAATAGCGATGCACGAGCAAAATGGTTCACACTATGAATATCTGATTGTTGAGATCGGACTGAATCACCAATCAGGCTAACAGGTTTAGTGGTCTTGTTTGCATTCCAGATGTTTTTGGTCTGCGAGAATCGCGGTTTTCCTACGTGTCCGTTTACTAAACATCGTGTTCTGTGCACTGGACACTGTTGGGTCATTTTCGGGGGGTTTCAATGGTGAGTTGTTTACGTTGAAATGAATATCTGATTCCGAACAGATGTTGTGGGTTCCCGTCATCGTTCAATCGTTAGGTGAGCTGAAACTTGGACTCCACTCTGTGCACCCGCTTTGCATTCTGGTTCCTCCAAACCTTGGGAATTCAATTTAGGACAAGAACTGTGAATTCTGATGAAGCTGATTATGGGTTTTGCATTTTAATGAATCTATTTTGGTTTCTTATTTTTGAATTGATTGGTTTACACAAGCCTTCAGACTGGCTGGCTATGTACGAACTTTAGTTCACACCAAAGAACTTCCGAGTTTTTACCAAATTTCCAATTTGCAAGTTGGACCGCTCTTTATTCGTGGCTAAATTTCAACAAGAAAAATTCAGCACTTGAAAGACATCGGTAAAGCAGTGCGTTTACGGCAAGAGACGAAATGAATTACACTCTGCTTACTGAAAACTTTGTACTGTGCGTTTTACCTTGAAATTCGTGTTTGCATTTGCCACATGGTGTAGTGCCATCGACCCCAAGATTCCGTCCTTCATATACGCTGTCAAGACACAATACATTACGTCTCCATGGTGTTTTCAACCTCAGACTGTACGACCAACACGATCTGATTCATTTTCTCCTGTTTTCAGAGGTTATTATTGTTTCCAAACGTTTTCTCACTCGCCAACGAGGCTTCTTCAGTGTGTATGAAAAGGAGGTCCTCCACATGTATCCGTTGACGTTTTTTCTTCATCATCAGCCAACATTGTTATCAGTTGTCATCATGGTATTCAGCCTGGCCTCTGTTGAAGAAAAGAACCGCCCAAAACACTATATCGGACAAGCCGGAAAAAACTATCAACGGGGACCCGTACACATCAACTGTCATTGAAGAGAAATGGCACACGCTCCCTGATTTTCCTCCACGAAGATCAAGAAGGGCATCAATTTAACTTCGAACAAGCCGCAATAATTAACCCAATCAGGACAAAATACGTCAACGAATTTCTCGAAGCTTGACAGTTTAAAAAAAACCAGTAAGGAGACACATCAAACTGTATCACGTGAACAGGCCAATTCGACTCGAGGATCAAGTAACGCTACTAAATGTCATGTCATCACCCGAGTACGCACCAATCCAGAAGGAATTCACCCCCATTCCGCCTTTCCCATCGTGCCCTTTTGATAGTAAAGCGGATTGAATACAGTGAGAAAAATCGAAAAATATTCGCTTAAGGACGCGTAAAAACAGAACAGCGCCACTTCACAAACATTGACGTGGCTATCTCGGCTATAGTTTGCGAACAAATTTCCAAGCTCTGCTATCAGGTGAGGAGGGATTTCGTTCACCCGACCGGCGAGAACCGATAACATCTATTAAGTAGTTTTTATGATAAAACTTTGACTTTGATTTAGAGGTTGATGGCGTGCATAAGGAAAACCCCGATTGGTTTCGTATAGTTAAACGAGCATCTGTTTGCACTTAAGAACAGTATACGTTTTTTTCTTTAGGGATGGGATGAACGACGTGCGATGTTCGCAACACGTTAGCAAGGATCATTTGTGCTATGTCGTGAATGTTCAAAAGTAGAAACGGTCTATTAAGCTGCTCAGCAGCATGCTTGCATCCTAACTGTGTGGTCCCGGTTTTGATTCGCAATTGAGTCGATGGATTCGCACTTTTGACGAGACCCAACTAGATCGAAACAGCTGTCCAGTGCTTCCTAGTTTTTCGGCTAACATCATTTACACGATGAGTTCTTCATTTAACCTCAAAATTAATATCTTACCGACAATTCTGACAAGGTTTGGGAACTGTAGGTAAAACAAAGTCCACAATTTGGCCAGAATCACCGATGGTTTTTCACCAAATTAACTGCGTTTATCACTAGCTATGACTTTACCGAGTATTAAACTTTCTCTTAGCATCCATGTTGCCGATGCAGATTTATTTACATAACGTGCGTTGAGACTATTTTGAAAAATAAGAGCTGTCGTGGAATATGGTTTACTGTACGGAATATCTGTGGCTAACTTTTGAGATTTAGCCCTGAAGTAGACGAACTAAATTGCGAATATCATGATAAAACAAACTTTCTTAGTCAGGATTAGGTTCTCCAAGTATTGTTGAGAGTTAAACTAACAAAAATCATGATATCGTTTCATTAGCGTAATCTCTGTTTGAAATATGCGCTGAGAACCTTCCAAAACCAATTTCTGAATTTTTATACATGCGTTTGTCATGTGTAACGTTCCTCTTTTTGCTGAAAATATGAACACGAATAAGAGTAATTCTGAAGAAAGTGTCATTGAATCATCGAAATATTGCCCGCATTTCGTTGTTACTGAAAGCGTTTTGAAATATTTGCTGTACCGTGTGATACATCTGTGTAACCTGAATCCTTCTTGTTTGCTTAACAGTCGAATCTGCTCACCCATGATACCGTTATCTAATGCATTCATCTGACTGTTAATTTAAGCCAATGCTTACGATTCTCTCAAACCAGGATTACTTAATTAAACTCTTTCCAACTGCGTTCTGAGACCCGTCATTTTGAATGTTTTGTTCGCAAATCTTCATGTTGAACCCCGGTTTAACTCATTTCCTAATCCATGATTCAGTCTATATTTATCAGGATGTTGTCCTTGTTCGCAGTCTTCTATTCCTTATTTATATGAGATTTTCCCCATATCCTGAAACTTTATGGTATGTTATTGATATAGTGTTTAATGTCCATTGTCCAATGAGCAGAGCTTCCTCCGTGTAATTACCATCAGCAGGTACGATGCTTTGTTTGATCGCTGGCCCTCATACTTCAGACTTGTTTTCAATAATCAGAACGTTCCCTATTTGGGCTCCATTACATAACATGGTGTCACTCTCACCTATAATCATTCCTGGTCTCCTCACGCAAGAAGCGTTTCCAGAAAACATCAGTGACCGTTCTTGCTAAAAACCGTCTCAGGAAATGAGGTATCCTCTCAAAATATTTTTATTATTCGCATTTTGATACACCTCCTAAACCACTTCCGTTTATTTCTTCCCAATGTAAAAATAAATTAATTCACCCTGTTCCCCAGGGCTCATGCGATTTTTGTATAGATGCAGTCTCTTAAACACTGTTTTGGTTGACTCGTGGAGAGCACTTTCTAAATGATATAACCAAGAAAGTTATACCGACTCCCCGAAATTCACGTCAATTTTAATTAACCTATGCAGTAAATTCATATACATAAACAGTACCCTTCCGTACCCTGCTTGTCTCTTAGTCGTACAACCTTAATCACTTGTCTTGAAAAGATTCTCTTTTATTAGAATTAAGTTCGCTTTCCTGATCTGTACAATTTGCCTGTTTTTAACGATGCACATTCACTGTGCAAAACGTTCAATTGCATGACGCGTTCCTTCGTTTAACCTATCAGGCGCCGTAAGTACAAGTGAAACTGAAGTGTGTTATAACAACGGTTTTAATGTGAGAAACTTTATTCAGGATTCGCAGTAGCGCTGAAGTCTTCCTTTGTCATTAATCAAAATGGGTTATAAATCCCTAATTGAAAATAACGCTCCATGATCCACGTGCGGTTTGTTCACTTTTGAACACTTCGTGTACACGACAAAGATAGAAAAACAATATTTAGTCAAAATTTATTTACAGTGGTGCAAGGCATTTCTTAAAAACTATTGTTTCCAAAATTTGAGGTGGTGATGCAATGGTACGTGTGAAAAAATATCTCAAATGCCAACCCTAGTTTTAACCCGCTTACATTTTTTCACATGAACGAACAAGCTAGCTGCGAAAGCCTAACGAATAACGAGAGCAGTTCTGAAGAATTGCGACACAGTAATCTTCCCAACACATCAGTTGACAAAAATAGTTGTTCCAAACAGAGCAACATCTCAAAGATTTCGTTGGAAAAACAGACCCATCGAGCTTCAAACAGTCCCAATTCTGTAACACCGAATGACAGACGTGTGCACATCGTTTTTTCTAATACGACTATTTATTTTCAAACTCAGATATCAACACTAAACGAAGGTTAGGTTTAATTGTGTTGGACTGTGAACAGCTGTTTTGATGGAAGAATTAACGTTGTCCGTGTACACAAGTTTACACAGACCACGGCCGTTTTTCGCTCATGTACAAGCTGTTTATTGGACACAACGAGTGCAATGGGAACTCGGAGTTAAAACAATTGGGATAGGCGTTTTCATTTTGAATTCGTCAAATTCATTGTAAATTTCTTTGGGTAGTGTCGGAATTACAGTTTATTTTTCAAAGCAACCGAAAAGGTTCATACGAATTTCTGTGAAAATGAAAATTCAACGCGGTTGTCTGTTAACGACATAAGTGAGTTATATAACCAAACTTGAAATTTTCTCTCAAAATAAATCCGTGTTTATCAGCGCATAAATTTATTATAAAACGCAAACTTTGAAGTGCTTTGGTGCTAACTTTTCGGTGGTAATAAATGGTATTTTAACATATGAGCAATTTAAAAATACAATGTGGTCCTTTCACAGTTATTTCTTCGCAGAAGGAAAAAGCGTTGCGGATCCGTCACTCAACTTTTTCAGATCTTACACCTGAAAGCCCTATGCATACTTTTTTTATTGATCCACCGATTGTTTAGTGTATCTTACCCTTTTGGTTATACGAGTATCTTGTAATCCTCCCAGAGGGAATTTAAGTTGCTTCCCAGATCCTAAGCACATTTATCTAGAAGTAGTGGGAGTACTCGTGAGATTATCTGTCACTTCAAAGTTTCACAGCATACAAATTCATGTCTTTCGGTATCATAAACAGCCCTTCGCGTCTGTTGCATAGAAATCGTATAGAGAGTGTCCTGTTGTTCCACCCGATCACACTGTAACCGCATTTGGTCCTACCGGTTTTCTATGGTGCCTTATCTAGCCCGAATTCTTCGTAACACAGCACATTCCGCTTTGGAACTAAACCGACTAACTGTATTTTGTTGTGTTTTGTCCTTGCTTTCCACAATTGTGGTGTAATCTCACAAGTTAATTAGTTGTACTTTGGCCATGTAGCTGCTGAATATTCACCGCCCAGAGTACATAAAGCATATACTTTGACTTCACTTGATCACCGAACGACAACGTAACCGTAAAGAGTGTCATCAATATCCCTACTGGTATTACCACACAGATTTAACGTCCTGCTTCTAATAATAGCGTTATACTTAAGAAATGGGTTTGTGTAAATAATGAATGTTTTTCAGTTGAAATATGGCTTTCACAAAACAAATTTCAACTTAAAAAAGAACTGTGAGATTGTCTAATCGATATTTTTATACCTTTAAAGTGGGGTGACTGGTGTGGGAAGTGGACAAATTGATCGTAAATACTGTTACAATTAGTTTTTTTCAGTTCACAGAGGAGGTTTTAAAATTAGCTCGGATCGCGTATGACAGCAAGATTCCCCTGAGGGCACATCCGAACCCCATACAGAGGACTAATAACCAATGTGGAATACACTCTGTTTTCTGTTCCATCTAGTGACGGAGCCTCTTCAGTTGTGTTAAACTAAAACAGTTC